TCACGACGCTTGCTCGTTGGAAACTATACTGTTGGTTCAAGTTTTTTTTTTTTTTCATAGCCGTTACATTCTTTTAGCGCAGACCTTGGAGAAGATCGGTGATTTCTGATTGAATACTTAGATTCAAGAGGGTAATATAGGGTCGTCTCATATAGAGTTGACTCATTTCCTTGGAGTCTCTGTGTACGAAGACCGTACTGGAGGTACGCTGCTGACCAAAAAATATCTCGTCTTCAGGTCGTTCCCGGGATAACCATCTGCTTGTTGTTAGTGGGGAAAGTGGGCCTGGAGAATACCTTCTCTGTAAGTATACCGTTGGGACGACCACTAAGAAGAAGGCCGTTGTAGCTGCCCGTACTCTTCAGGGCTGTCTTCCCTGGCTTGCATTCGAAGTAGACATTTCTCTGACAGCACCATATCGGATGGTTAAACGGTCACCAGAGTCTGAAGTGTTTCTGTAGGTTATATTGCACCCTATCTAGGCACGTCTCCTGGTATTTTACTGGAGGCGATGATGCTCCCCGAACGCCACCGTTTCCATGGCACTCGATTATCTTGGCGATCCGGGGTACAACCGATTTATTTCGCTTGTCCACGAAAGAAGAGTGTCATCGGTAACCAGGATGCCCAGCTGCACAACTGACGACTTTTTTATAGGTGTATTGCCGATGAACGACTACAATAATGTACAACTCGATGGGCCATCTTGTAACCACTCTTTACTATCTCTGATTGCGGGTGAATTCAATTTTGTCTCGACGCCACCTAGCGGATCCTACTGAACTAAAGCTCAAATCTACTTTATTTTAGCTAAACTTTGAGCTTATTTATCGCTATTGTTATAAACTTTTTTAAGAAAAAAACTATGCGAAAATCATCTCGGAATCATCAAGAATCAAAACGCAGTTTCAGCAAAATCGGTTTAGTAGTTTTTGCGGTTAGCGATTACAACGGTTTTAGTGACTTTGCTTTATATATTAGTAAGACTGGGTACAACTTAGCCAACGCATTGCGTACTCCAAATATGCCTAAATAATTGTGATGAAAACATGATGGAAGGGAGAGCAGAGCAGTATCGACAGTTTGGGTAAACTCGTATGCCCTATTTTCTTCTAATATAAGAAATTATTTTTTATATAAGAAGTTGGAAATCTATGTTTAGAATTTCTACTTATTTTATAAAAAAAATATGTATATTTTGTATTAATAAAATAAGCAGAAATTTGACAGTAAGCCATGTTTCTCCAGTGATAAAAAAAAAAGTTTCTTTGGTTTTTAATCTATCTGTACGTTAAGGCTGTCATCTGTTTACCCATTCGTACGAATTTTATTTTATAATTTGAACCTTGTTCTTTGAGCAGCTTTTTTGAATGCGCAGAAAACTCGTAATATTAATTTAAAAAAGGTATTTTCATGGGGCACTATCATCACCTAAGGTAGGGCATGATTGTCTCAGTCAACGCTTCAGTGCAAATAGTGGACTGTTATACCACTAGATATGACATAACCTACTTCTACACAAAGTAAACAAACTTGAGTCAGTAATAGTATTTTTATAATTAAGTAAATATTAAAAATAAGTAAAAAGTACAATGGTTCGAGTGTGTAAGAAAAAGGGGGCGTAAGGAACATTCGGAGCTACAGAATGATTTAGCCAAAAAAAAAGTTCAGGAAGTAAAATCAATCGAAAGTTAAGCAGCCTTATTTGGTGTCCCAAGGTCAACTCATCAATCAAGAATACATTATTAGAACATACAAATTCATTTAGTCGTATGTCTCACGTACATATTTTTTTCTTTAGTTTATTATAAAAAAATAAACCTCACTGTACAATTTTAGAAACGGATTTGTCCAGAGTTTTTTCAGATGCCCAGGAAAAAAATTACATGATTATATTGCTGACACGAAGGCAAGATTGATGAGTCTTGAGTATGACGGAGGTCAAAAAGCTGGCATTTAATTATGCTAAGCGATTGGAAATCTCACATCGTTTTAGCGACTTAACAGGATAAGTAGGAAAATATTGGTTGAGGGCGTGCATGAACAGGCATCAGCCAAAAGAGCCAAAAGGCAAGTTGTTGATCTCACAGCAGCTAAAAAAAGTGAAATTGTAATGGAAACAGTTTGCATTTCAGCTACTGGTATTTTTATACGTCCTGTGGTTATATTCCCTTGAGTTAACTAGGATAAACTGTTTTTGGAATGCTGTTCCCAAAATGGATAAGCAGAGATTGACAAATCTGGCCAGATGAACACTGCAATATATATCAAGTGGCTTACAAAATTTTCTACTTTTTCAAATGTTGCTCCAGACAACCAGTTTTTATTGTTAATCGATATTAATTTTATCTGTTGCTTTGATTAGGTTACTTATTCGTATGTGTCCCACCCATTCCCACACCACTACCTCTCAGTCCCACTTGTAATATTTAAGTGACCTTTTGAGCTTTTCCTCGACCACTCTTAGCCTTTTCATAACATAAGATATATAAAGTTTAGTTTTTCCATGATTTGTTTAAGGAAGTTCATTCGCTAAGAAAATTAACGTCAGTATATTAATAATACTTTAAACAGAGATAAATTAGTGTATGAAAATCTTTGATTCAAAAAGTTCCCTTATATCCTTAAAAAGTGAGATATTTATAATTTTATTTTTAACGTTTTAACGTGTAGTCTTATGAAAATGAGTACTGCTCTGATACATAACCTGCAATACCTGGATAATTAGCGTTAAGATCGGCGAAAAGGGCTATTTTTTAAAGCTGTAACCATTTCAAACTCAAAAGTAATACGTAATAAAAAAAAAATTTTCCTCTTATCTCACAACTTTATTACCAGAACAACAAAGTCCTGGAGCTTAACTTCTACAGTTTTTATCGCCACAAAAATACAAATACATATTGTACCTAATTAAAAATCTAGAAGATTTGAAAGATGACTGTGAGGGTACAATGTAAAGTTAATCTTTCAAGCACTAAAATGTTAATTTGTCAATTTTGACGCTGCTGTTTCAATTTCAATAAATGTTCTGCGTCAGTAACTTGACGCCTTCAGTTGTATTCATTAGATGCATTTGAAGTTTTCCTTTCAATTCGCTCACTTGCGATTTTTGGAATGGTTAACACTTTTGTGACCCCTAAAGTCTGTTTTCTGTCAACTTTGTTAAGTTCTAATATATTTGTTGGCAAGGAAGTTCGACCTCTGATGGCCCTTAGAAAGATCGATGAGCTTTTTAAGTAATTTCTTTCTTGACTGAAGTTTCCAGCGAACTTGATTGTTTCTATAACTTAGAGTGATCTTCTCTGGCCTGTTATTGTAGCACTAGACTGATTGGGAGGAGAATTACAACATTTCGAGCGTTGGAGCTAGTTGTTGAGCTCTTTTCTAATGTCTCCTGGTATTACGCCAAAGACTTTGGTGTCTAAAGCACCTTTTTTTGTAGAGCACAGTTGTTTTGGCAATCTAAGGTGGGGAGGTTGGTTCCTGATGCTTGCCCATTGGAGACTGTCCGATTTGCTCAAGTTCGTTTTTTCTTTATAGCTGTTAGGTTCTTCTAGCACAGACCTTGAAGAGGATCGATGATTTCTGGTGGAATAAAGTCAAGAGGGTAATATACGGTCGCTAAACACCGGAGTTTCCAGCCTTGCGATGAGTAACTCTACTCATGACGACTGCCAGTGAATGACTGACTTGGTTTAATAGTGGCCGTCTGTAGTTAACATAGTCTTTTAGTCAACGAATCGCTTTCGGAAATAGTAGTAAAAAGGTATATATTTGTTGGCAAGGTAGTTTGAACTTAGGGAGCCCTTAAAAACCGATTTGGACTGATGGTTAAGTAGGAAACATAAATACTTATAAGGGCCCTGAAATGGGCCAGTGATTAAACTTTCAGCTATTATTATTTTTGATGATGAAAAGCTGGCTGTAGGTAACTTGACTCTTACCATTAAAGTCTCTGTGTACGGAAACCATACTGGAGGAAGGTACACCACTGACCAAAGAACATCTTGTCTTCAAGTCGGTTCCCGGATAAGCAACTGCTGATCGTTTAGCGCCGTTGTGAATGCTTGTACTCCTAGGGCTGTATTTCCTGGCTTGCATTTGTAATAAGAAATTCTCTAACGGCATCAGGCCGGTTGATCGAATGGCCACAAAACTCTGAAGTTTTGGAGCCGATTGCGCTCTGGCCAGACCCGTTTCCTGGTATTTTTCCGGAGACGTTATCGTTTAGAACACCTTTTTATTGGTGGCACTCGTCAGTCCTGGTGGTTCAGGGTTGAATTAGATGTAATTTGCTTGCCCATTGGAGAAGAGTGTCATCAGTAGCCGGGATATCCAGCACAACTAACAATTCCATTCTTGATATACTGACAGTGAACGACTATGGAAGTTTAGGCAAAATCCAATTGGCCTACGTCAGTCATAGGCATCTAGTTTAAACTAAAATTTTAGGTGATTCGGGTTCTGCTTATGCAATTTGGATTTTTCCTAAATTTAGAGTTTTGTCGGTAACATGTGCATATATATATGTATAATCATATATAGAACATACACAATTTCCTAATGATTGTTCACTTGTTGATTCTTTACGTCTAATCACAATGGAACAGGTGCTAGTAGGAATAATTGAGTTGCAAATTCTGTCATTCTGATTATGTAGAACTTTAAGAGAGGAGAGATATAAAAGCATAATTTTGATAAATAATAAAATTAATTTAATATACAGAACAAATCACAGTTTGAGTAATTAAACCTTATATAGTTTACATTATGTTTTACAATAACTACTCTTTACTTTTCTAATTTTAAGATTAAAAAATTATTTGTAACTGGATTTTTCAACGTTTAAAGATTGACGCGCAAAGCACGCAGGAGTCGAAGCTTTCTCATACATTGAAAAGATTACAAAGATAAGGAACATCTTGAAAAGCAGTATGATACACGAATTATTATAATATTTATACATGGAAAAATTGTCTTATCATAACTGATTAACTTACCTTCGATTCTTGAAGAAAATTTTGTTGCAGTAAGGGGCTGTTCCCATTATACATCTGATTCCGTTTTTTAGCAACATGGTGTTGTCTTCGACGGTTTTGTACGGCTAGTAGCAATGATATGAACTGATTTTTTAATTCTTTCTCATACTCCAATTCATCTCTTAAAGCAAGCTCATTTATCAGGGTTTCACTTAGAGCAGATATTAATGAATCCATTTCGATTAAAATTTCGGATAACTGCTTCGAAGAAAACTGTTGTAATCCTTGTAATAGAAAAAACTTTCATCATGTACTTATTTGTATCAGATAACGTTCTTAAGACATAATTAATCCATATTCTACTAGTGGGGAAAGAGTTATATACTTTTAGTTAATATTTTAAAACAAAATCTGCAGAAACTAGTTTAAATAAGACACAATTATATTGCTATACGGTTTGTTTGCTGAAAAGCCTTTTTAAACTGCAAACAAATATCGTTTTTTAAAGCCAAATTCTATATATGATACATTCTGCAAAACAATCTAAGGAACACAAGAGACTCTGCCTCTGTAATTAACACGTGGACTACCATATTACTAGCTATGATTTTAATTTACTTTGCCAAAGTGAACTTGATAAAAAGAATATGACTATTCTAGTTGTAACGTAGTTAGGTGATAAAGTTAATTAAAATAACATTACTTATCTAGTGGAACAATGTCCAGAATTCTTATCATATTAACTATTAAAAAGATAAATATGGCTATGGTTGATTCTCGAGTCTAGCGGTTGGCTCAAGATAATTTAGGTATAGACTCAACAGACATCTTAAGTAAGCAGACGGCATCATAAGTTTCAGCGGTCGAGTAGAGGTGGAAACAGAGGTTCAGTAAGGTTAATCGGGCAAGTTGGGGTAGGTTACGACTATTATTGGGTAATAAAAAATAGGTAAGGCTTTTTTTGTCTGGTTTTGGCTTATACTTCCACTACACAGAATTGATAAAAGGTGTCTGAAAAAATCACATCAAGTCATGCATGAGTTAGAAAAATACACCAAAAAAATTAGTGATTAGTAGGAGCTTGGGTACTCTAATATCAAGCTCTACATCTCTGGCAGTCAGTATCTGAATGCAGATTTACTTTTTATAAAATCAAAATGCTATGAATTCTGAAAAAACACAATTTTTTCCATTTTTTAGTTATAAACTCCCAACTCTTATTATCCTTACAACAACGGGATTAAAAGGACAGCATATTTTTGTAATGATTTACTCAAATGTTAATTACTCATTAATTATAAGCTTTTGTACTACATAGCAAACCTTATATGTATGACAGGTAAACAGAGAAGAGTAGTTGGCATAATAAATTATTCGTTCTTTATAAGCTTGTACTCCTCTTTTCAAGAATGTTTTTTTAGGAATTACTTTAAAACAATGTAAGAGTAACTTTTAAACAATAATGATTTTGTTGGAAAGTAACTCAAGACTAGTACACTGTTTTTAAAATTTTTATAACTATAAAGAAAGTGTATTTTCATGAGTAGTAAGTCCAGTGGCGAAGTTTTAAGTAAAGACTGAGTATTAAATTACAGTGCTAATTGAAGAAGAAATTTTATTTTTATGAGTTTTATGATTTCCTTGGAATTTTTCATTGATTTTAAAACTTCTGTTTCTTTTCTTCGAGATAATTTATCAGTGTGCACTTTTTTGAAATACATTTTTTTGTCGGTTTTTAAGTAAAAATACTTATATAATACATCAACTTCGATAAATAATGAAAAAGTGGAAAGTATACTATTTCGCATACTAAAATTGTTTGTCCCTAAAATTAAAAAAGCTTTAGGTCTATAACACGAAAATCTTTTATTCGCAGCGTTTGTTTAGAAACGGTAACAGCTGAGCTGCCCGTTATTAGCAACCTGAGAAACGAGACAATTTTCGAGCTCAACTTAGCAGACCGCCAGCCACTTTTTACTCTCGATGGCAAACGGCTCAGGCTTCACAAGCCACTTGACCCGGATAAGGATATTCTGTAACACGTCTTTTTTTTCGGTAATAACCTTATTATTGTAATTATTAAATTGTTCGCAACTGTTATTAATGTTATTACTATTATTTTTATTATTATTGTTGTTATTAAAATTCCTGTCATTAACATTACTACTGTTATTATTAATATTGTTATTTATAACTTAAACTTAATATACCTTACTATATCGAAGGATCGTAAAAAAAAGCTTAGAAAAAAAGCCCCTCGAATATTAATTTACCTCCCTGTGCTCAGACGAAGACAAGCTGACCAATACGCGCTTACACGAAAATAAGTTTAGTGCAGGAGATCAAGCGAACACAAGCTTAGCGAGCCATGTTAGTACGAAGATAGGCTTTACAGTGCACGTTCGGACGAACAAAAACTCAGCTCATAAAGTCTGAAGAAAACTGTATTTGCCCTTTATGTTGAAAAAGAAACAAGATTTGCTCTGAGTGTTCGGACGTAATTAAGCTTAGCAGACCATCTCGGATGAAAACGATTTTTGCTCTCCACGTTGGAGAAAAATAAGATTTCCTCCTTGCGTTCAGACGTAACCTATAGCTTTACTACGTTCAAATTGATTTTAATTAATAAGTATGATTATAATAACTATTAATTAAATATTCTGCACTGTAAAAATTATTTGACCTTATAATACATATCTTTATTGTTATTACTTTTATTACTATTATAATGTAAGTATGTAAATATGCATTTATCATAATGCTTACAAAAAAAAGAAAATCATTAGGAAACAAAATAAATTTGTTTAAAATATGTTTTAAAAATTCAAATGCAAATGTTGGTATCCATCCTCCTTCACACCAAATTTTTGCTTTGTAACGCAGCTGTCCCCACCACAGATTGCTTAGCAGACAGAAAAAAATTTTTTTTATTTCGTTATTTCAGTGACAGAAGGTGCATTTTGCGAGACTGTCTCTGCCATTACTGCTATTGGATGAATAAAAATATATTAATTCATTTTGTCCCTTAAGTTACGTTTTAAGATGGACTGCAACAACTAAGGTGACAACTATAAGTACTCGTGAAATTGAAGTGAAATAGTATATAACACACCTAGTGATTAAAGTTATGAGTGTTCCAGATTTTATGTGGACAAACGCCTGAGGTGAAGCCGGGCGATTACTGTGAAATAAAGGGCATATTATATTAATCTCTGAACGTGGTGCGTGTACAACTTTACATTTCTTGGTGTCCAGAAAGTCATTATTGTCGTTCAGATAGCGTGAGATTTCTTTTTATCAAAACAATTTGTGCACGAGAAAAATTTCACTTACCCTCATTCCTGTAATGGAAGGCCTCTCTTTCCCTTGTACTTTTCTAGATGTTAAGACTCCTAAGTTATGGACCTTTATTTACTCAGATGTACATAAAAAAACTATAGAGGTACATAATACACATTGTGCTGTACACAGTAAGCAATTTATAAAATGCTAGTTTATCAGCCGTCACACAGCACTATACTTCGTTTACAATAAAACTAGCTATCTTAAATTAAAAACTTTACTACAACTAGTTCTTCGAAAAACGAAAAACTTTGATGGAGGTTAGACGATGTGTTATATTATAACAACATATTATACAGGAGCGGCGTTGGCTCAGTGGTAAGCGTGCTTATTACTGATACAACGCAGTTCTAGGGGTCGTGGGTGCGATTCCCGGTGAATGCAGATTTTTTCAAAAACTGTTTTCATCGGGAAAAGTTCCTATGTAACCCTGGCTGTTTCGGGGCGGGTTTTTCCGTGGAATTTTCCTTCAGAGTAATTCCGGGGTTTTTTCCTTGCCCCACAGGTTTTCGGGCCTAGGTGAATGCGAAACAGTGTTAGGGCTATAGGTAGGGATTAGCGGACCCGATGCCAGGGGTCGGGCAGGGATCGCCAGCCTTACCGGCGAGGAGTGGCCCCTAAAACACGGGGCTTCTCCGGGGATGCTAATTAGCCTGGATCCGATGCTTCGGCAGAGAGCGCCAGCTTAACCGGCGAGGAGTGGACGTCCTGGAATAATGGAGTCTTCTCCGGGGAAAGGCTACACAGTGGTGAGTGGACCCGATGCACCATCGATGCAGAGAGTGTCAACTTAGCTGGCAAGGTGTTTCACCAGAGATACTCACTGTGCCCATAGATTCAGGTAGGATGCGAGGAAAAAGGTTTAGAGATGGGTGTGGCAATACACCCCCACATATAGGTGGTGAGTGGGTGGCCCCCACGACTAGGCCAAGTAGGCTGTCGTGGTAACCCGGTATAAAAAAAAAAAAAAAACATTTTATACGCACGACAACAATGTCATGCAATGATATAGATACGCTTACAATACAAAAACGGGTGAGCAGACGACTATAAAAGAACGTGACAAAGTTATACTCCTCCTTTTCATACACCCCCTCCACCAAACAATATAAATGGAAATGACAAGAGTATTATATATAATGGGACTCATATTTTTGGTGGTTTTTCAAAAAAATTAATGTTAAAGTTAGATTTTAAGATAAGTTATCTGCATTTTCTACCAAGGTATCTTAACTCGTTTTTTTATTACAGCACTGGTGCTGTCAAAAAAATATTTTTTTAATATTAAATGTCAAAACTTAACGATTGACGATTACAAAGTCATTACTATTGGCCTGGTGTAGCTGAAAAAAGGCGATACCTTAAATTCTGCGGCAAAAGTTGAGTAATGGGTACCAGTGGAAGCATAAATAACGCAACCATGTACAGCTGTACCAATAATATCAAAAATATTACATAAATAGGTAAATTATTGTATGAATAATTTTATAATCACATCTTTACATTACTTTCTTCGATTTGTAATTCATTCATTCACACTACATCAAAGAGTTGTACAGTGAACACTTTACATGTAGAAATAGTTGTATTCAGTAAAAAAAAAGGTTTTAGTGCCAGTTTTTTCGTATATTATGAGAAATGAGATTCTGTTTCATTTTTTAAAATATCTAAAAATACAATTTTATCACAATCCCTGTGACACGTTCAGTTTTATTGCTACTACACATGCTGAAATTTTGTGTGATCGACCAGTAGTTCAGACAGTTTCAGAAACTGATTTGATAAAGCCCAATTGATACACTTTAGCTCACGTACAACAACTGATTTTAATTCGATATATTACTACAATCAAAAAATTTTGTATGAATATGGTTTCTTACTAATACAAATATGAAATATGTTTATGCAGTGTCATCAAAACTATGATTATAACGGTTATGCT